CGTCGCGATTCTCCCATTTGAGATATTTTTCTATAGGTGATATGTTCTGTGATTAGAACTGACAGTAGAAGTCAACGGGTTTGTTGGTTGTTGGCTCGAAAAGACGAACTGTTTTTCACTTATGACCATATAGTTTAATAGGTTATGGGCCCAGTTTACGTGGAAGTCGTGGAATTTTGTGTCATACTTGTTTATGAGTTTTTCGAAAAATCGAAAGTAAAAAATTGTTGCGAACATTGGGAAGAAAAATACCGAGGAAAATAGTTATAGTAGTTATACTAATTGTTGAAACATGGATACAAGAAATTAGCAGTATACTAGCGTGACACCATTCGATGGTAATAATTATTCGAATTGGGAATTTCGAGTTAAATTATTGCTTGAACGAGCTGAAGCCCTGGATGTTGTTACAGAGCTTGTAGGAACGCAGCAGGGGTAACAAACTGGCCTAAAATTCCTTTTTTTGCTTCGTAATACAATTAATTAGCTTTTTTACCAGTTAGATTAAATTGACAAATTTCTGACGAAACCGTACCGTTATCAGTTGGTTTCCAAAAGAATGTGATGACTATGTCTTAAAAACACGACTCTTGACCCCTGGTTCCTTGGAAAAAGTCGCCTGTCTTAAAATTGATAAAGTAAAAGCGTCACCAATTTCGCTAAATAAAAGACGCCTCACGTCGCCCTGGATTTATTCAGTTATAATCACAGATTCTGGTGCTTACAGTGCAAAGTCGTTCGTTATAGTTACAAAGCAGGTGAGGTTTCAGTTTCCACATATTTCCCATTGTCAATTTAGTAACATATTTTATTCGCAATCATATATGTAATCTTGTCATTACTGCCTTTTTAAAAATTTGGAAGTGACACTTTACTTGTGTCACTTCCCTCTTCGATTTCCCTCACCGATTTCCCTATTCGACTTCCCTCACCGATTTCCCTCACTCTAATTTATTTACCTTTGCTGGCAACAATGAGAACATGTCAGGTAAAAACGTCAAAGCAGTGAATGACACATTTTGGCATGTTTGTTTTATTTTTTTTTTATCAAAAAAACTGATTGACTAATCATAATTGTTGTGTGCTTGCAAATAAAATAGTATACAAACCTCGGAGGAAAGTTTTCATTTTTGTCTTTCTGCATTTTCTAACAAGGCCGATTTGTACTACTCTATCGAGGATGTTCTCTAACATTGATTGTAAATTATAACCAGCATAATTAATCGCTTATCATAGAACATAGCTTACCTGTACATTTATTTTCTCCATTTTTATTCTACATTCAAATTCAGTATTGTCATCTACCTTACTCTTATATTTTTATAAGCCTATTCTTTATTTCAATCATTCTACTGATTTTCCATTGTCTTTAGTTGTTATAGAATTTTTAGTACCTATTTAGAAGTACCAGTCATTCTAGTGACTGAACGTATTTATGTCGCTTCTTGAACACACAAATAATTGGGAATTTTCTATTTGTACATGAATTTGACGTATTAGCAATCGACATTCGTTTTTGTTGGTAATTTTTTGTTTCATCTGATTCGTGATTGATGAATAAGGATAGGGTTATTCTAAATGGGTATTGAAAATACCATACCTATATTATCTATAATAAATTCCATATGAATCTCTATTGTAAGAGAATGACTCTTTGATTTATTCTGACAACTGATTCCTCTCAGAACAGTTAGAACCCAACTACGTACAGCTCGGGTAGCAAGAACCAGGACTAATAAGGGCAACCGAATCAGTTACATAGAATTAACCTGTTGCGTTTTACCGAGAATTACATGGTCCCTGGTGGCACGCTACGCTACAGCGGTACGAAAAAAGGCGTTTATTAGTCCTAAAACTAAGTCTTCCTCACTCGACCGTCACATCCAGGTGACGGCGATAACACAAGTATTACCTCATTACAAAAAGACTGATGCAAAGGCTCGAAACATAATCGTCCAGTGTTTGGCAGACAACATATTAAAAACAATAAAAGATAAAAAATCAGCGAAAGAAATCATGGAATCTCTAAAACAGACATATGTTTAAAAGGGAATATCTATGCAGGTACAACTGCAAAGGAAGCTAAGGTCAATGAAATTTATGGAAAAAAAAAAACCCAGTTAAATAAATTCTTCACTGATTTTGATCAAACAGTACCTAAGTCAAATAAAAGCTGCTGACAAAAAGTTAATTTGCCAGTTATGAGTATTCTATGGTTGTCAGCAATGCTAGAGTGTTTGTAAGCAGTTGTAACAGCTATTGATGTAATGTTTTGCCAGGATGAATCAAGGGTGAGCCTGGACTTTGTCAAAAATAAACTTTTGATGGAAGAAAGTCAAAAAACGAAAAGTGTGGAACTTGAATCAAACGATACTGCGTTTGCATCCAGTTATAGAAATGGGAGCTTCAACAAGAATTTTGAGAATGACTCAGGAAATGCAAATAAAGATAAATATTTTCCTTTTAAAAGTCATTTGTGTGATGAGGTTGGAAATATGAGATTTTGTCCTAAAAATAGGCATTACCAAATAAATTACAGAAGAAAGTACGCAAATATGGTTGAAAGTAACAATCAGCCTAATCAAAGCAATGATAATGATGAAACAGAGGATGAAATATTATTTTTAACTGGCGAGACACATGAGAAATTTCATAAAAGTTTAATGCATAATTTATGAACCAAGTTCAAATACAATTAGCTTTGTAGTGGACAGTGGGCCACACATCATTTGGTTAAACTAGAGTACATCAAGGATAATGTAATCAATAAAAAAAAACAAAAACCATGAGATTAGCAGTGCTAAAAAGGGACAAAATCTATCATTGATAAAAGAGGGCGATTTGTATGTCAAACGCAAATACACGCCTGATAAAAAAAATGAGAATACAAAATGTTTGGGTATCCACCAAAGAATTATCACACAATTTATTGTCCGTCAGAAAACTGGAAGAAGCTGGAATAGGAGTTGTATTTGGAAATCGAGAACTAATTGTCTGGAAGAAAAACAAGATAGTTCTACAAGGAAAAAGACATGGGAATTTATACAGTAGATTTTCAAATATCTTCAAAACCCAAGACAGGAATTGTGAACCTAATTGTAAATGAAAGTAAATTGTTGATGCACAGAAAAATGGGTCATTTTAGTAAATATCCCTCACCTGAAATTTGTGAAACTTGTTTAGGAAGTAAACAAACAAGGCTTCCTTTGAAGACACTAGATTAAGAAAGAAAAGTAAAAAGAATCTTGGGAATGTATTTCAACACTCAGAGATTTCAACTGTTGTGTGTAGACCATTTAGGCCTGCAACACATGATGGAAAACGATACTACGTGATCGTTATTCACACTTTTGCGTTTGTTATCTCCTGGAAAACAAGAGCCAAGTTACAGAGAAGCTTACAGAATATATAAGGCGAGTCAAAGCAAAATTTAATAATAAAATAGACAGAATAAGGTTGGATAATGGTGGCGAATATGTTTCTCAAAAATTAAAAGACTTGTGTAACAATGAAGGAATTCATTTGCAGTACACTATTCCAAGAAGTCCAGAACAAAATGGGATATCTGAGAGGGTAAATCGGACAATAATGGAAAAGGCCCGATGCCTTTTATTGAATTCTGAATTAGGAAAATAAATGTGGGGTGAGGCTGTTTTGACCTCTGTTTTCTTACTGAACAGAACAGAAACTTCAAAGGGCCAATCAGGTATGGTATGGATATAAACCAAACATATGGGTAAGATAAAGTTGTTTGGTTGCGAAGCTCATGAACTGATTACTAAAGAGGACCGAGAGTCAAAGCTAGACAAAAGAAGCCAAAAAATGGTTATGATTGACTATACTGATAATGAATAGAGACTATGGAACCCCTTAGAAAAGAAAGTAGTATCCGCTGTTATGTTATTTTTAATGAATTGAAAACTAATGACGGCAGAGTAACAATTGAACGAGACAACGAGCAAGCAGATGAGGCAAAACAAGAGTTTACTGAATATTCAAGTGAAGAAGAAGGAGAAAGTAAAACTGCACAAGACATAAGAAATAAAAACCCCGGAAGAAGTGAGAGAATAAGAAAAATACCGACACACCTACAAGACTACCAATTGAATGATGACGATGAAGACTTGTACCAACCTTATGATAGCACTATCTGCAGGGAATTTGCCATCAGAAGTTCCTCCAGAATTATAAAGATGCAGTGAAAGACAGTGAATGGAGAAAAGCCGTATAGAAATGGAGCTAAATTCTCTGAAAGAAAGTAAAACGTGGACACTCGTAGAAGTTTCTAAGGACATGGAAATATTCGACTCAAAGCGGGTGTTTGAAGAAAAAGAAGTCAATGGTATTCTGGTGAAGGTTGGTGACACGTGGCTTTAGACAGAGTGTGTTGAGTGAAGATGTTTATACCCCATGTATGGTGACTATAAGAGTGCTTTTGTCATTGTATATGCAGGCCAATTTTTATGTAGGTACAACAATTAGATATAAAGTCTGCGTTCATGTATGGAGCTTTGGAAGACCCTGTATATATGTATCAGCCCGAAGGAATAGAAGATCTTAAATTGCTATGTAAGATTTTGAAATTTCTTTACGGGTTGAAACAAACTCCAAAACGTTCGAACTCCTTGGTTCATGATTCACGATTTTCTAGTTTCCCTTGAACACCAACGTTCCAAGTTCCAAGAAAGATCCGTGCTTGTATTTCAAGGAACATACTTATCTATTGATGTACCGACGATATTATTGTTTTTTCAAAAGACATGCTCCTATAGTAGTACATATTCAAATTATATAGCACCTCTAAAAATTGCCTTTCTAAAAAATATACCTATTCAATAAGTAGTGCCCATTAGACCAAGGATTACACTAATCAATTCGCAAAAGATTTCACAATAGATAGATAAATTGAACTAGTTCGTGTAAACTAGGCCATCAGATTCCGCTGACTGAAGGCCGTTAAGAAAATATTTAATCGATGTAAAACGAATATAAATTCTTACCTGTAAGCATTTGGGTTCGTGCAAAGCCAATGAGGCTGTACCGAATTCTCTTCCACAAATGTAGCAAGTTAGAGTACGCTTTGCTGAACCACCTCTGGATGGTGTAGTAACCAGTTTTCTGCTCATTGTAGCTTCTTTGTCGGAGCTGGGCGAATTGATTGTGTCAGGTTTTTTCTGGATTATTGGAGGTTTTGGCTCCAATAGCTTCTTTATTGGAGACTTTTTAGCGGCACTTTTGGACTGGTATTTGATTGCCACTGGTTTTTGAACTGAACTTTTTACTGAAACAAAAAATGACTGCTCTGTGGTTTATAATTAAATAGAAACCTCACCGTTAGACATTTTATTTTAAAAAATTCTATTGTTCAGGCGACAGACAAAATTGAAATAATTGAATCAAATCATCTCATACGTGATTATCTCCGGATCGAAATAAAAATGACGAATACCTATACCTAATTATACCAAAACCATTATGCCTCTGACGGGCAACTTAATAAAAATCGATTACAATTTTGTACATAATGACAAAGTAAATAATAGCGTTATTATTGAACTGTATGGTAATTTGCTCGGTTTTAAATATTCAGTTTATATACCAGGTTTGTTTTGATAGTCCTGTTTTCATGGACTTGAATAGATGATATTGTTGAAAATGATCGCTCATAGGATAGAAGTGACCAGGACGAAATATCAGAATACACGGTTGCAAGGATGAGAAATCATGGAAAATGTACGAAATAAAACAGAAAGCTTCATATAGAAAGAACAAATCGAAGAAAATGAAAGCGCTTATTAAAGCTACCAAAAGCTGGATAGAGACACATACCTGCTAAGTCCAAATTTGAAGGTATAAGCAAAAAACGATTAGAATTTTTCTTCATAAGCATTACTTACATGATTCATTTATTGTTGAATAGTCAATGTAAAAAGCATCTTTATCAAAATACTATCTTACCTGTAACTGTGGGGATTTTGTTCTCAACTTTTTTCACTTCCATAGGCGTTCCAGCTTGACTACTGCTTCTTTTGGAAGTCGGATGACTGTGGAATCGTTCAGGCAAATCGGGCCTACCACAAGTTTTGCATGGAGAGGGTAGTTTGGTCGATAAAGATGATTTTACGAGGTCACTATTGGGAGTTGCTATGGTCGTAAGCGTCGGTTTTCTTATCGGAATCTAAACTTCACTTATTAAAAACTACCATTGAAAAGTATAGGACTTTTACCTTTAATGATGTTTTCTGATTATTGTTGGCATCATTTCTAACAGCTAAAATATTATTCTGTTTGAAGTTTATCACAGATTTGTTACTGGCCGAATTTCTGTTGGACTTTGTGGTGCGACTATTTATTTTGGCGCTCTGTATCACGCTGCTTTCTTCGTCTTCGTGACTGTCTTCGTTCGGTTCGAACTTTTTGCGTTTCTTTTTCGTTTTTTTGTTGTGCGTTTCGGAACCTAACAGCCTGAAATTTTAAAAATTAGAACCCGTTTTGGTTAAATAAAACTTAAATTTACCTACCTTAGCGGTTTACAAGAATCAGCTTTTTTCTTTATAATTAAAGGGAGCTTGCACAGATTCGTTATGTTGAGGAATTCTTTTCGGACAAGACTCATGTCAATTTTACCTAAAAATACACATCAATTAGACATTTTTATAATAATAAATTGATAAAATTACCCAAAAATTTTATGTCCAAAATAGAAGGTTTTTCCAAAGTTGCAGTCAAAGGTCTTTTGCGCTCCTCATCTTTTTTATCACGTTTCAAAGGCCACGTTTTAGTAAAAAGTTTAAGATTTGTATTTTTCGGCATTTTCAAAAAAAAATTAAGTCCTCTTCGTGCACTGAACAATGTCCAACTGAAATTCCACCCCCTTAGTAACGCGCTCGGAACTATTAAACTAAAAACAAATCAGCCAGTTTTTGACCACATCGCGACTTTGAGTTTGTAATGCATAGAGTTTATATGAAGAGAAATGCGTTTACAGGACAGTTTTAGTTGGTCTCTATTAAATAAAATTCGTTGGACGACCAGTGCGCAACGCTGGACCTCACTGTTCGCTGACCATTTCAAATGCGTGGGACAATACCATAATCTGTTTTTTTATTTAGAAAGAAAAAAATTGAGATGACTAAAGTAACCCGAAAAGGGCATGATTTCGGTTTTGCTTCTTCCTACGGACAAAATGAGACATGAATGACCGGGTTTTGAATTCATTTTGCAAATTTTAAAAATTTTAAAAAAGTATTTGGTATAAATTCCTATATAGTGTTTTGAGGCTATCAAAAAAATAAAGGGAAATAGATTAATTGGCCCAAACGGACTTCCTGCTTAGTTTGAAGGGATGTAGTGAACACCTTTTAAAACCCTTGGAAATTTAGTCTAAATTATTTTCAGAAACTTCTAGTTATCACGATAGATGGAAAGTTAGTATGTAAAATGATTCCTATCTTTAAGTCTGGCTCCAGGAGAGGATATTGAAAATTATCGACCAATTAGCATAGTCTCTACGGTTTCAAAGATATTTGAAGTGATAGTGTTCGAGGTGTTGTTTAATCAGATATCTGATGGTAGGGTAGGATAACTTTTTTTCTATTATAGATAGAAATCTAACATTTTCAGCGATTCTTATTCAAGTAGAGGTCCAAAACTCCTGAAAATTAAGACTCAGTTGGCAATTTGGGGTGATTTATTAATTTTTCAATTTTTCTGGAGTGTCTTTTTTCATAGAATCCCGCTCCAAATCTCAGAATAATTTAGTGTATGAAGTTTGGGGGCTCCCAAATGATCATTTAGTTAGACACAAAATCTCAACATAAAAAAATTTGAAATTTAATCGTTTCAGTACTATTAGAGTAGCTACCTTATGATTTGGATTTTTTAAAACTTTGAAAAATCATAACTTTTTTCTATTAGAGATAGAAAGCTGTCATCTGATTATACCGGGTGGTCCTCCGGGAATGACATCGATTGCTTATGGGAAAACTGTGAAAGGTAAAAATTTGAAAATTTGGCAACATAGCAATGTCGATGGGGGACATCTAGGTAAAATATTTTCAAGATGGCGGCATTTCCGGTCATACCGGAAGTTGATACCAACTCGGTTATTTTAAATAGAACACCCCATATATTAATGTATTTTTGGATTCTACATAAAATTCTGAGCAGATTTCATGTAATATACCCTATACCTAAGTTCAACTGTTTTGGAAATATTGACAGTTGAAAATTGACTTTTTGCAACTTTGACAAGCTGTAAAACCTAATTGGTTAATTTTAGAGGAAAACCGATTTCACATTCCTATCTTAGATTTTGATAAACTATCATTTGACACCAACTTTGAACTTAAACGGAGATTAAATTTAACTGAAATTTTTAATCATGGATTTAATTCAAAGTTGATGTCAAATGATAGTTTATAAAAATCTAAGATAGGAATGTGAAATCGGTTTTCCTCTAAAATTAACCAATTAGGTTTTACAGCTTGTCAAAGTTGCAAAAAGTCAATTTTCAACTGTCAATATTTCCAAAACAGTTGAACTTAGGTATAGGGTATATTAATGAAATCTGCTCAGAATTTTATGTAGAATCCAAAAATACATTAATATATGGGGTGTTCTATTTAAAATAACCGAGTTGGTATCAACTTCCGGTATGACCGGAAATGCCGCCATCTTGAAAATATTTTACCTAGATGTCCCCCATCGACATTGCTATGTTGCCAAATTTTCAAATTTTTACCTTTCACAGTTTTCCCATAAGCAATCGATGTCATTCCCGAAGGACCACCCTGTATAAATTTGTATATTTTCGTATAACTGTGCATTCGTAGGTCGATCGAGTGTACGCCACTGGTGTCACTCTGTTTCTGACAACCCCCATACCCTTCCCTATTCTATTAGTACGAATCTAATCCCATGTACAGTTTTTGAATAATTGTCATCTGATTATAAAATTTTGTATATTTTCGTATATACAGTGACCGCCAAAAAGTTTGCAACAAATGGGAAAATATTTTATTATTAAGATATCAAAAAGGATGTTACGTGGGATCAATTCAGCATACCTATCAACAAAAAAAAGCACTGTGACAGATGTCATGTGACCACAGTTATGGCGGGAAATTTAAAAAGTTCGCCTTAAATATGTAAAAAGTGGGATTAGATGACCAGAAATCGAAAAATTGTAGAAAGAAAAGTGGTTCAGGATTCGATTTTACGTCTATTTGTCAATTTTTGAAAAGGTACAAGGATTTTTAATAAATATCAATTTTTTGGTCTGTTTTCTGGTAATTTGAAGAATATCAAAAACTTTTCGCAAAAGTATTGGTTTGAATGAATTTAGAAAAGAGGTATTGGATCATTTAGAACGATTTTATGATATTTCCAAATTTGTTATTTCAAATTTTTGTTTTCTGTAACAAGACCAGAGAGTGGTCTGAAAATGAATTTTTGGTTTTTTACAATTTTCAACGGGACAATTAAGCAGAATGATTGCACTGGGTTTTTTTTGTTAGTTTCACTTTGAATTATGTGAACCAAGCGAAAAGTTTTTGAAATTTTTCAAATTATCAGAAAACAGGTCAAGAAATTGATATTTATTAAAAATCCTTGTACCTTTTTAAAAATTTACACATAGACGTAAAATCGAATTCTGAACCACTTTTCTTTCTACAATTTTTCGATTTCTGGTCTTCTAACCCCACTTTTTACATATTCAAGGCGAACTTTTCAAATTTCCCGCCATAACTGTTGTCACATGACATCTGTCAAAGTGCTTTTTTTTGTTGATGGTTATGCTGAATCGATCCCCCGTAACATTCTCTTTGATATCTTAATAGTAAAATATTTTCCCATTTGTTGCCAACTTTTTGGCGGTCACTGCATGAATGTTCATTCGTCGGTCGATCGAGTGTACAGTACACCATTAGTGTCACCCTGTTTCTGACAACCGCTTCAACCTTCCCTGTTAATATGAATTTAATCCTATGTACAGTTTTCGAATAAATTGTCATCTGATTATATATTTTTGTATATTTTCATATAAATGTGCATTCGTAGGTTGATCGAGTGTACGCCAGTGGTGTCACCCTGTTTCTTACAACCCCCTTAACCTTCCATGTTATAGTATGAATTTAATCCCATGTACGGTTTTTGAATAATTGTCATCTGATTATAAAATTTTGTATATTTTCGTATAAATCTCCATTCGTAGGTCGATCGAGTGTACGCCACTGGTGTCACCCTGTTTTTACAACCCCCTTCCCCTTCCATGTTAGTATGAATTTAAAGCCATGTACAGTTTTTGAATAATTGTCATCTGATTATATAATTTTGTATATTTTCGAATAAATCTGCATTCATTGGTCGATCGAGTGTACGCCACTGGTGTCACCCTGTTTCTTACAACCCCCTTAACCTTTTACACTTTATTTTTTCCCAAGATAGATTTTCACATTGAAAACTTTGAAACATAAACAATAACGCTTAACCCTGATTGGTTGCAAAATGAGGTGTTTCTGCAGGTTGACATCAGTTTTACAATAGCGACCAAAAGCGGCATTAGCGGCATTGTTTATGTTTCAAAGTTGACAATGCCAAAATCTATCTTGGAAAAAAATAAACCCTAGGTTAGTATGAATTTAATCCCATGTACAGTTTTTGAATAATTCTCATCTCTGTATTATATAATTTTGTATATTTTCGGGGATAATACCACGAGAGCTTCAAAATTACCGATAATTTTTCACGATTGCGTGTTTCCTATAATTTCACGAGTCCGTAGGACGAGTGAAATTTGCAGAGAAAACACGCATGAGTGAAAAATTATCTGGTTCATTTTAAAGCTCAAGTGGTATTTAGAGGATTATTTCATGTATGAGAATGCAAAAAATATGGAAATAAATATGTATTAAACGATTTGAACATCTTAACAATCCATACAAATAAATGGTTGCTATCAGGAACCGTTTGTTTGTATCAAAAATTAGCATGACAACCATATATACAATAACATGGGAGAATTATCGAATGTAATACCACAAGAGGTTTCAGGATTACCGGATAATACTTTTACCTGTCACGAAACGCGTTACGCAGCAACACCACGACTTTGAAGGAGGAGTGGTGTTGCTGGTAACGCGTTGAGTGTCAGGTAAAAGTATTAGGTAATCCTGAAACATCGAGTGGTATTCAAAAGGTTATACAACGAACTAAACTTCAATACTTTATCAATCTTTATAATCATTAATGACAAATTGACAATATTGCCACCAAGCGCGATAATCCCAAAAGGCTTATCACTTATTAAGCCTCTCGTGTCATATGGGAATAATGTACAGTGAGTTGTATAATCGCTGTAATTCTCTCTAGTTAAACAAATGGAAGAGAGAATTTTCGCTGTAATTCTGAAAATCGTCACTTGTCTTATGGGATTTCTAACACATGAGTGGAATAATCGTATAAATCCCCATTCGTAGGTCGATCGAGTGTACAATACTGGTGTAACCCTGTTTCTGACAACCCGCTCAACCTTCCCTGTTAGTATGAATCTAATCCCATATACAGTTTTTGAATAATGTCATCTGATTATATAATTTGGTATATTTTCGTTCTATCTCCGTTCGTAGGTCGATCAAGTGTTACGCTACTGGTGTCATCCTGTTTTTTACAATGATATTTTTTTACAATTCCTTTAGGGCCGGTTTCTCAATAGCGAGTCACCTCCGGGTTAGCTTTAACTCCAGGGTAAACGTGTCCAGTTGCTATGTTTACCCTGGAGTTATGCTTAACCCGGAGGTGACTCGTTATTGAGAAACCGGCCCTTAACCTTCTATGTTTGCATAGTGAAATTATTAAAATAATGGTTGCAGGTTATTAATGACGTCGAAATTATTGCCAATTGCAGTTTATAAGAAATTAAAATTCGTTTTAAACTCAGAGCGCATTTTCTCTTTTTCTCAACCCTAGTTAAATTCTGATTGAAATGCTGTCGGATCATATAACCGCATCAGCCAAAAAAATGGGATTTAGGTTGGCACTCGTGGTGGGTAATGTTGCCAATAGTTGCCGTCTGCAAATCTTGGTTATTGATTTTAATATTTTGAGGTTTGTTGTCAGTTTCTAACGAGTCGGGGATTGATAGTTGCAGTGTTGTCGAAGCTACCGAAATTTCGGTATTTCTACCGAAATGGCAACGGACCTACCGAAATACCGAATACCGATGAATTCTTACCGATTTTTGATAATAATTCTACGGACTTTTTTACCGTTTTTCGCCAAAAAGTCAATTTTATCGTTTTTGTTTCCGCCGATTTTTCTATGCATAGCCGCACCCAATCTACTATCGAATTTTTTGTCCGTGTCAGAACTGTCGGATGTCAAATAGATCCTCCGACGACAAATTTATTAATAGGTTGGTATCAGTGCATTTCCTTCGGGGAATACCCGTCGTGTTTCCTGTTACAGTGCCTAAATAAACCTTTACATACAGTGGCGACAATAGAGGTCCCGCCGCCATTTTGTTCCCAACCTCTTATTACTCTTAAATATTAATATATAGGATTTAAATAGACATCTATCATTAAAAATTGAAATCGACGTATTTGATGACTATTATTAGGACCATCAAATACGTTTTTTCCATGGTTTATGATGGATGTTTACCCAAATCCCATATATTCATATTTGAAATAAGCAATAGGTGGGAACAAGATGGCCGCGTTTCCCATATAAATATATGGGATTTTAGAACCAATCAAAAATAAGACAGCAATTGTCGCCACTGTGGGTAATAGAGTCACTGTATTTCCTGTGATAAGCCTAGTACTCATAACTGCGAAATTCGCATTTTTTTTGACATTGCTTCGACAATTTGACGTTTGATACACGCATTAAACGTCAAATTGTCAACGCAATGTCAAAAAAATGCGAATATCGCAGTTATGCGTACTAGGCTATATCCTAATTTTTCCCATTTTCCGCCAATTATTGAGCGCACATTCTCAGCAATAAATCGAATGAAAACAGTACAAAGAAATAGGGTGCATTTAGGCGGTCCCAGCGGCTAAGCTCAGCGCAGGGATTATATTTTCGAAACCAAGGAACAGCGTTCTCATAAGAACGATTGCTCTGTCATTGTCAGTGTTATGCCGGACAACAAAGACAGAGCCTTCGTTCCAATGAGAACGCTGCTCCCCTGTTTCGAGAATAAAGTTCCTGCTGATTGGCTGAACTAAGCCGCTGGCACCGCCTGAATGTACCCATTGACTTTCCATGGAAACAATCATTGGGCTTTTACATACTCAGCGACATATAAAAGCGGCTAACTGTCATGATTTTGAAATCAATAAACAATTGACTTTGGATATGTCCAAGGAATATTGGTGTGATAAAAATCGCAAGAATTAATCTGTATATTCATTTTGTTTCTTCAATTTTCTTAAATAAAATATAGGATTTGATTTTCCGATTTATAATGTAATATTTATTAAATCATGCAAAACAAGGCAATGTTGGATTTTAGTCTTTATGCTATACCAAAGTTTGGTTATACCGGTTATACCCACCGATTTTGTGCAGTAATCTACCGATTTTCAACGCCAGTTTCTCCCGATTTAGTATTTTGACGTTCGACAACACTGGATAGTTGGGATATTTAATTTGCCAAGAAATTGTATTAATGGAATTTCGTTTTTTGGTATTATTATTCTTATCAATAGATTAATGAAAATGTAACCTGGGAAAATGACAAAATTTATGGTATGTCAAAGTAAAACGAAGTTGTTGCGACATGCTAACGTCATAAATTTTGATCCCCCACATACATTGTTTTATGGCCATTTCCACCAACTATTTTAGGGAAGCCGTAACGATAGGTATGCCTTAAACTGACATTTCTCGATGTAAAAATGTCATTTTAGGGCAGGGCCGCAACTAGAACCCTCGGCACCCAAGGCAAGTCCAAATTTTCACGCCCCTCCACCGCCTTCTCCAGTTCTCCAAAGTAACAATAGATATATTCTTTGATGCTTTGGTTTTTGCTCGAAATATATAATACCTATATAATTTAGACACATTAAAACAATAGTATATTACATACCCTACAATCTATTACGTACTAGGTAGTAGGTACCTACTAGTATTGATAAATCCAAAAGTGCAACAGCTTTTTCTTTGGAAATATTAGCAGAAATGTTTCAAATTTTTGTGTACGGTACATGTAAACAAAAACAAAACAAACTGCACTGGCTCTCCACGAGCTTCCTAGCTCGTGACAAAAAATGCGCACTGAGTGCATACATAATTGCACTGGATTTCAAATTGAAAATAAAAACTGATAATGTGTAGTCAAATGGAATGTACAAATTGCACTGAGTGCACCTCCGGGTGATAAATGGAAACCTGAGGTTCTTGCTAAAATCCTAGGAACGCTAGAACTGGTTCAGAAACGATTCCGAACCGATTCTGGTTGATTCGCGAATCTAGAACCGTACGCCACTACTTGAACTGCGCATGCGAAATATTAGACACTTTAAGCAAACCCTAAATTTTTCTACGTATCCGTATCCGCATCCGTAAACGCATCGGCTTACGTTGACGGCCTAAAATTCCTTTTAAGCAAGGCCATACATTACGTGAACGATCGTATCCTTAGATGAAACGTTTTTCAACCTCAAAAAGTGTTTTGTTGATTTTGTAGCTGAGTTTGTAGGTTTTCTTTTTATCTATAAGTACTGTGTTTATGTTGTTGAAGTTATTTTAGAGATAACTGACAGGAAGATCTCTCAATATTGTGAAATAACTGAGATACGTTTTGGGATACGGATACGACGCTAGGCCCGTAATGATACGGACAACGCAACGCAACGAAACGAAACCACCGTATCTATTCTGCGCATGCGCAGATCGATACGGATACGTTTGAAATTCAGGACCTGCTTAAAGTGTCTAGTTTCGAACGTTCAGAATCCTTACCGCGAACGAATAAGTTATTGTAAAAGTAAAAGCTGTTTACGGAAACTATGATCGGGTTAACCCGATCGCCAGCAGACGTTTTTTGTCTTTTTTCAATCGTATTCATTAAGGAAAGATAGAAAACATTGATCGCGTTATGCCGATTATACTTTCCGTAAACGGCTAAATAGAAAAGAGCCAAAAAAGATTGTTGCCTCTGCTGAGGACTTTATTCGAAGGACCACCCTTTAATAAAGGTCAAAGGGAACCCAAACACATTAACGAGAATTAATACTTTAATTAATTAACCATTTATTGCGGTACAAAACGAATTTTTTAATTGGTAAAAATACAACAACGTGAACGTGACATGCTCTCGAATTCGTCTCTTCTCATTGGTCGCGCCGAGCGATCCTATTGGTCGCTTGCCGTTCTTCCCGCTGCTGTTCTTGGGCGTTGCCAGATCCTTTTGAGTTGCTATGTTTTTTACGATGTTGCCATATTTATTTTTGTTGCTATACAGTGGCGGCTCGTTATAAAGGGCTCTGGGGCGCCGCCCTCCCTGTAGTAAATGAAAAATAATTTATTTTTATTTTTCTTGAAACCCCAATTCATTCAGAAAACCAATAAAACAATAACATGAAAATTGAAATTAATGAAATTCAAACATGCCGATATTCGGTCAAGTTATATCGAATGATTAACGCATTTCGTTCGTTCTACGGGGACTACGGGCAACTTATGCCTGCCGAACGCGGGCACTAGAAAATCCGTCCCGGCTAGTGCCACGATTTACGTGGGTTGCCATGGCGACGAACGTGTGACGTCACCCAAACATCGCGCTAGGCGGTGCGTTTATTGGGCTCCAAATGTTACGCCCGGAATCAGGAAATTTTCGCGCTTTCGAGGGTCGCCGGGCCGGCATTTAGGTATTCAAGGTTTATTCAATGTTTTGTTTTTGGATTAAGTTTTTTATCAGTTTTTTATCAGTTTTTTTATTGGAATTCGGAAAGTTTGTTAATTTAATTTGCTAATATGAAGGTCAGTGAATTACAAAAACTCGTGTTCAGCTTTTTGAGTCTACACGACAAACTTGACTTGAAAAATAGGTACTGGACTGTACTGGACGACCATTGCCAATATTGAACATTGTGCAGGTACAATCAAAATGTAAAAATGAGGCACAGTTTTCGCGAAAGTTTGACAAAGAAATATACAATAAAAATTCGTGGATATATGTCAGAAACTGGCTAGTACAATCAACGCTAGTAGTACTCATGTTGCCCCTAAAATTTTGACCTAAGAATTTATATTTATATTTAGAGACTGCCTTTATGATGACAAATTTTTCAACATTTTTTTCTGAGCCCCCCCTTACATGATTGTCACGAGCCGCCACTGTTGCTATAGTTTTGTATATGTGAAAGTCTGATAAAAGAAATTGGATTTGAATGTCCAAATAGATTTGAATGCCCAAACAGAGATAATGCATGCAGCATGCAGAGGACGCCCACGTCGCCCACAGTGCTCTTGATCAGTTTGCTCGAATCAAAGCTCGACTCGAAGCAGTGGCGTAACTACAGGGGGGCCTAGGGGGCCGGGCCCCCTCCCAGACTTCGCTAGGCCCCCCCAGAAAAAACTTCAATAATTTGATATATTATGAAAGCTACGTTACCTATTATAATTTTATGTTATTACGTTATTGCCTACTAAACTAAATTTGAACGTTAATGCGCGACGAACCCTATTCGATCCTCCGATCTACCAACGAACGGTGCTATGCCACCCAAAGGTTAGTGCAAATTGCAATGTGCAGAAGTGATACAGTATACCAAAGCCATTGAATTAGCATTAGCAATATAACAGATTAGTTTGGGAGTTTGACTAAATATTTTTCCTGTGAATCCGTGAATCGGTGTTGCTGATATTATACTATACAGTGGCTGATAAGCTGGGTTAGCTAGGTAATGGCCATTTGCACTGCTATCACTTAAGAGATATTTATTCTATAAGTGGAGCTTTGAATGTGACTTCTGTTTCTACAGGAGTCACATTCAAAGCTTCACTTGGATTAAATACCCCTTAAGTTATAGTGCTGCAAATGGCCGTAAGTGATTTAAGCCCGGTTTAGCCAGCTAATTGTCTATAATGTAGAGCGCATGCATAGTTAAGAATCGGTTCAGGATTTCTTTTAACCGCGAACGATTTTGGAACCGAAAACTGAATACTTTTAACATTATGTGATTTATTGTGAACCTTATTAGCTATTCGATTTCCATAAATCAAAAAGAATAACAGAACAGATATAATATTTATATTTATTTACGACTAATGTATAATGTGCGTATTATATTTGTGATTTTGGCAGTATAATGACATATGTTATTCCTCCAGGGATTAATGACGAGTAGCGGGATTAATGGTCATTATTCTACAAAAGTGTCAGTGTCAAACGTGTAGTGCTTGTGGATTTGTATTGAAAATTATGAGACGGATGAAATTTGTTCATTGAAAATCTCAAATAAATTAATTTGTCGTAAATAAAGTAGAGTATACTACTCGCAATAATGGCTATTATTCCCTCGGAATGTTACTCCCTCGCCGCTAACGCGGCTCAGTTCGTAATAATCCTCGGGAATAATAGCTATCATTATTGACTCGTGGTATAATCTACTATTATTCAAAATTCGAAAATGATCTATACATTGTTCATCCCTGAAATATGGCATCACTTTAATTACATTGCTTTTAGGAACTTAATCAAGCTCTAATTCTGCCTTGTCCTCATCGTTAGATGACAAATGGTCCGACTATAGTAGGTACCTACTTAGATGAAAAAAAATCACTAAAATTGTGCATATTAATAAATATATTAGATTAAATAGAGATAAGTAACTTACAATACTGTACAGCAAATTCAGTAAACTATAAACTCCGTAGGAAAAAACTAGCGTATAGTTTATCGCTTCAGCGTATAAACAATAGGGAACTTGCACATTAAATTAAATATGGAATAAATAATAGAACACAATAACAATCATTCTAATAAATGATGCAATTAGGAAAAAAATATAATATCTTATCTCTGGTGTCCAAAATCTTCAATTGAAAATACCAAATAATTCGAAATTCATGACGCGATCAAAAACGTATTTCTATGGGTCCTGACGTCACAAGGCAGTAATAATCGGGTCGCGCCACTGCCACGCCATGTGCTGCTGGTGTTGTCAATGTCAAACCTATCATATAAACGGCATACATAACAACATAACCATAATCTAAATCTACCTGCTCGAAGGTCACTTTCAACCAAGGATATTCAACAGAATTTTGTTGCCGAGTGACGTCACACTAATCGGTCGTTTCAAATGGCCATGTTTGAGCATAACTTCAAATATTTATAAAAAATTAACGGCTGATTTTTAATGCTTGATATTTGGCATGACTATGCCTTTAGTGTAGTAGAACACATTTTTGAAATAAAAAAAAAAATTCCAAGTTCCCTATTAAAAAACCCAAAATCCGAACTTTTAGTCCTAACAAAAATCCTGGGACTGCTAGAACCGATTCCGAATCAATTAAAACCAATTCTATGTGATCCGCGAACGTAGAACTGTTACTAAAAATTCAGAATTTTATTATCCGCGAACGCCACTTTTTACACTGCGCATGCGAATAGTCCCTGAACCGATTCGGAATCGGACCCGCGAACAAAGCTAATATACCATGAGTTACATTTAAGATAAGAAGTTGACGTTACTTGACTGAAAATGAAGCGAAAATGGTAGCGGCACAAAAAATTACCAAGATCCTCAAAATTTCAATTATATTAGATGACGCGTTCTGAAGTTATTACCTGGGATAAACGTCGTGGGACATCCTGTATACACCTCTATGGTATACACTATGAAATAGACGTTTTTAGGTTGGCATCAGGAAAAAAATTCCCGCCTACGGCGAGCTTCCCCCTCCCCTATAAATAAATTTATAAAATATGAAGATATTATCCTTGTGCTCTCCTGGCATATAGGTACAATAATGTGAAAAATGCAAAAAAAAATAGGCCAACCACCCTATGGAGCTTTCACTCAATGTTGAGGCACGGTTCTTTTGTGTTTTTCTGTGGAAAAAGGCCGGTCATAAAAGTTAAAAACTGTAAAAATTGTATTTAATTAATTGAAAGTTAGAAGCTTTTTTTGTTGAACAAAGTTGGTATTTTTTGGAATAAGCAATAGAAATGCAAAAATGTTAAAAAAAAATGACGAATTTTTGATTATTTTCGAAATTTTAGAACTTTCAGGCCCGCGGGCATAAAAGGCGCCCTAGGGCGTAAAAGTACTACTTCGCGCCTTAAAATGCGGGCGTAAAAGTGCACTTTTACGCCCGTTCGTGCATAAAGGTTTATTTAGCCACAATAAAGTATTCATTAAGAGTACCAGTCCTTGTGGCGCCCTCTAGTGACATGATCGCTAACTGCCAATTGCAAGACAACTGTGACAAAAATAAACACCCGGAAAATTTGAGGTTAGAAAATCACAAACGATGTTTTATGTTTACTCTTTTAAATTTTAATTCTGTTATTTCTGTTTGAGTAGTAGATAAGATTGAGATTAACATTTTACATTACAGTATTCCTTCAATTGAACAGCCAAAATGCCAGATCTAAAAGTAACCCCCTTGGGCGCAGGCCAAGATGTAGGCCGAAGCTGCATTCTACTATCTTTGGGCGGTAAAACCATTATGCTGGATTGCGGAATGCATATGGGGTACGTATAGTCATATTATATCAATTAGGTTTCTATTGCCTACATAATTTTCTGTTTAGTTATAACGATGAAAGACGTTTCCCCGACTTCACATATATCACTTCAGAAGGCCCTTTGACGCCCCACATCGATTGCGTCATAATTTCCCATTTCCACTTGGACCACTGCGGAGCTCTGCCCTACATGTCGGAAATGGTAGGCTACAATGGCCCCATTTACATGACCCACCCCACAAAAGCTATAGCACCGATTCTGCTAGAGGACATGAGGAAGGTGTCAGTGGAAAAAAAAGGCGAACAGAATTTCTTTACTTCCCAAATGATCAAAGATTGCATGAAAAAAGTTATTGCTGTCACATTACATCAGTCGGTGATGGTGGATAATGACATAGAAATAAAAGCTTACTATGCGGGCCATGTTCTAGGGGCTGCGATGTTTTGGATCCGTGTAGGGTCACAGTCAGTGGTTTATACAGGGGATTATAACATGACCCCTGATAGGCATTTGGGGGCTGCTTGGATTGATAAATGTAGGCCTGATTTGCTCATATCTGAGGCTACATATGCTACTACAATAAGGGACTCAAAACGATGCAGGGAGAAGGACTTTTTGAAAAAAGTACATGAGTGTGTAGATAGGTAATATGTGGATTTTTTTAATCCAACCAATCAGATTCTTGAAAATTGTTTCCTGCACATTTTAACATTCGTATATTTCCTCATTTATATAAATACATGTAAAAAAATTAGCCAAAACACAACTTTTTTTCCAATATTCTGATTGGGTCTTGGCTCTAACTGATTCATGATTTCTTTTTCAGAGGTGGTAAAGTCTTGATTCCAGTTTTTGCCTTGGGCCGTGCCCAAGAACTTTGTATCCTCCTGGAAACCTATTGGGAAAGAATGAATCTCAAAGCCCCCATATATTTTGCCCTAGGTCTAACCGAAAAGGCAAACAATTACTATAAAATGTTCATTACGTGGACAAACCAGAAAATCCGAAAAACCTTTGTACAAAGAAACATGTTTGATTTCAAACACATTAAACCATTTGATAGGACTTATATTGATAATCCTGGTCCTATGGTGGTGTTTGCAACTCCTGGCATGCTGCATGCAGGCCTAAGTTTACAAATATTCAAAAAATGGGCCCCAAATGAGAACAATATGATTATAATGCCTGGGTTTTGTGTGCAAGGCACTGTGGGCCACAAAATCCTTAATGGAGCAAAAAAAGTAGAATTTGAAAATAGGCAAATTGTTGAAGTTAAAATGTCTGTAGAGTATATGAGTTTTTCTGCACACGCCGACGCCAAAGGAATTATGCAACTGATTCAGTATTGCGAACCTAAAAATGTGATGTTGGTTCATGGAGAAGCTGAAAAAATTGCCTTTTTAAAGGAAAAAATCCAACAAGAATTCAGTATAAATTGCTACAATCCTGCTAATGGTGAAACTAATACCATTAAAACATCAGTTAAAATCCCCATAGATGTTTCGCTGCCTCTATTAAAAAATGAAGCCAAAAAATTCAACTCTCTACCACCAGATCCTAAACGCAGAAGAATCTTGCATGGAGTGTTGGTAATGAAAGACAACAACATAAGCCTCATGGATGTAGAGGAGGCTTGCAAAGAGGCCGGAATCGATAGGCACGTAATCAGATTCACTTCCACTGTATCTGTAAATGATACAGGCCCTTCCATGTCCACTGCTCACAAATTGCACACGTTTATACAAGAAAAATTGCCCCAGTGGGGGGTGAGTTTTGCCGAAGGTGAAATATCGGTGGAATCTGTTTTGGTAAAAGTTGAAGGTGACGATGACGATTCCCAGAAAAGTGTTTACGTGTCTTGGACTAATCAGGATGAGGACTTGGGGAGTTTTATTTTGGGGTTGATTAATGCAATGGGTCAGTGATGAGGATTTGAGAGAAGTGGTTTAATTTTAAGTACTAATAAAAAGTTTTTGTAAATATATTGTTTTGCATAAGTTGATGATTTGTTTATTTAACCAGAGCGATAAAAATATCTGAGAAATTCGATCTAAGAAGAATAGCTGGAGATTGATTCCTCTTTGCTCGGTATACATTTTAATTCAAAAAAGCTTCATTGTTAAACCAAACCTTATGGAAGATCTATCGTAAACTACCCCTGAACCATAATTTTCATATCTTGAAGGTGGCCCTCCTCAACTCAATTCAACCAGTCATCCTATATTCAATTATGCTTTGGTTGAACAAGCATTATAAGTTCTGAAATCTTTCTTTTTAGAGGATGTATTGTAAGATTTTCTAGAAATGGACAATTTACAATGCTGAGAAAAACAGCTGCTATATTCTTATTTTTGAAGGGGAAAGCTCTCCACTGGTATAAATCAAAGCTAGGCAGGTTCTACCGCAAATTTAGTTGCAACAGCAAGCGGTAAAACCGATGGAGGATGGAGCTGCTGTATACTATCGATTCGGAAGTTGTGTTATGTTCAATGGATTATACAGGATAATGAACCAGTGTGTTGAATAATAAACCGAAGTCGCCATCTAGTCCAGTCTATTCTTGAATCAGTTGGTATTGGGTGCTGCGACCGTTTCTTCGCTCAACGAGTTCCAAATATAGATCACTCTGTTGTACAAGAAATATCTTCTGAGGAGTTTAGAACATCTCTCTTTCTCCAATCTTTTGGAGTGTCCTCGAATAAGGTTGTGGTTGTCACTTAGAGTATATATATTCATGTTGACAGAGTAGTAATTACTTAGATTTTAAAGGCTGTAAGTCCTCTCTTGACCTCCTGTCACGTAAAGTTGTTAGGTTGAACCGCTTCAAACGGTCTTTGTATGTTAGGTCTCGAATTTCTGGCGGAATTTTAGTGATTCTTCTTTGAACTCTTTCCAATGCGTCAATGTCCTTGGCATAGTAGGGATTCCAAACTGACTGAGCATACTCCAACATGGGTCTGATGAATGACTTAAATATATATTTGTGACTGAGTGGTCCTTCGATGCTTTTTTCGTCAGGTAGGCCACTGAGTTAGCTTTTTTGATGGATTTTGAGATATGTGCTTCTGGTTTTAAATTGTTAGTTACAACAATGCCAAGATCTCTCTCTCGATCTCTCTGTTCATCAATAGATACCAAAGTTACCTATGCCGTTAAGTTCGTAATCATATGGAGGATTGTTGGTGCAAATGTGGAGTAGTGCTTTTGTTTTCGTTGAGGGTCATCAACCAGTTCTCACGCCACTCGGATATCGTCACTCGTCAGTGGGTCAGATTTAAGATCTTCTCTGCTGGTGTGGGATTGGAAAATACCTAGCTTGGTGCGAAGCATGTTAGTGGTTGGTTTCAGTCGATCTTTTAGGCAAAAATCCATGCTGTGAAGACGAAAGGATGTTGTTTTCCATTAGAAGGTTTCTCAGTTGTATGGTTACAACTTTTTCCATGGATTTGCAAATCTTACCAGTAAGAGTTATAGGACAATAATTTTTTTGGATGAAGCTTGTCCCTTTTTTTATGAATTGGAATGATGTCGGCTTCTTTCCATTTTTTTCAGTATTGTCTCACTACTCATCAGGTTAGTCATTGCGTGTCCAAGAGGCGAGCTCATAGATTTTGCACATTTTTGTAAAAATATGGTTGGAATGTTGTCGGGATCTGGACTAGCATTTTTCTTGTGGGCGAGAATTGACTCTTCAACGATGGGGGAAAAAACAATAGTTGATAGAGTCGCACCGGCAGGTAGTTTCGTCATGTTGTCCGGAGGTTCTCGAGTAAACACTTTTTCAAAGTGATCCGCAAACACCTTTGCAGTGATAAAATTGTCAGTAATTATTTCCTCTGTTCTCGTCTCTTGATTGCGGATATGTTCGAGTTGAGATTTCGTATGATATATGAAAAAAAAAAAATTGTCTGAAGATATTGCTAGGTCGTAGGTCGTTCTCATATGCTTTTCTGGATTCTGCTATTTCGGTTTTTAAACTGTTATTTGCTCTTCGGTATAAATTGTAGTTGTTTTGATTGCTGTTTTTATCCCATATAGTTTCCTCTGGTTTTTTATATGGCGAAATATTGAGTTGTTGAGCCATGGCCTACTATATGGTTGACTTTCCTGGTTTTAAGTACCTCATAGTCAGCAGTCTAGAAGTTTCTTTTTTTGACAGAGTGTCTCCTTGAGGTGCGCATTCAGTTGTGTGTCTGCTCGTGTACAATTACATGATCACTTAGTCCTAGGAGATTCACTGCGAATGAAGTTATATAGAAGTTTTTTGTCATTCACCACTGCTAAGTCAAGGAGTGACTAGTGATCGCCTCTAAATCTGGTTGGGAAGGTTATCAGTTAAGCGATTATCGTTTGATAAATATCAAGAAAATCGCTGGAAACTTGTTTGAAATACGTTAGCGTAAAACTTTTCCAATCAATCTCGGGGTAGTTGAAAGCAAAAATAAAGATACAACATAAAAATAAAGACATAAAATTAGATTTTCTTCTTGCGATAGATAGTTGGGTCTATAAAAATACACGCAAATAGCAGATTTTGTTTGGCTGTTCTGCTTCGCAATCATAAGGAGCTTGTATTGGTGGCAACGTCAGTCGGAATTCACTGCGGTGGAGATCTTCTTACCATTTACGCTTTCCTTCACGTATATGAAAACTTCACCTCCGTTTCTGTTTTCTCTGTCGTTTTGAAATAGTTTATACTCTGGAATGTTTATTAAGGTGTCTGGGATAGACCTGTGAAACCAGGTCTCTCTGTTATTAATATGAAAGTTCGGTTTGATGTTGCAATGGATATTCGGAGTTCATCGATTTTTGTCATTATGGAATTTAGATTGGTATAGAAGAATGAAGCCTCAATGAGATGCTTTATTAGTTTTTCGAGGCGTTGTTTTGGATTTGAGCTTTCGCTTGATCTCTCACGATTTCCGGACAGTCATTAAAGTATCTAATCTTCAAAAGTTGTTCTCACCTCCAGCAGCAGTGCGATTTTCCAATTCTTGCAAAAGCGATTTGCGAAATTTTCTTTGTAGTTCTGTGAGGTCGTATTTAATGTGTACATACTTACACACCTTCGTCGCTCGCGACTTTGTTTTTATTCATTAAGAACATTTTGGGAATCGTCTTTTGCTGGTAGGATTACTTTGATAGGACGGACAGTTATCTTTGGGTCTTCCCAGCCTAAGGTGTTGTATATACATATACTATCTGTAGGTATGTCTTTCGAGATTTACTTAATGATGTTTTCAATTGAGACTTAAAATTTTGTGCTTTGCGTTGAAGTCTAGTGGGAGCTGCTGACTCTTTAACACCAAGTATTAGAAAAATATCAATCCAAAATTTGTCAGTTGCAAAACTGCTGAAACTAAATTCAAATCTTAGTAGACAGGTTTGTAGAGAATTTAATTTGCTCCAAGTAGAGCTTAATTACATTGAAATTGGACGAAAATTAACGGAGCTGATGTGAGGCCAAAAGTGTCTCCTCAGTGTCATTTTTGGCAAATTTTCAATGCTCGATAAATTCAACTTTGAAGCTTCTCAGGTAAAAAAACTGTTGAAACCAAATTAAAATTTTAATAGGCTTGTAGAGAATTCAATATTGGTTTTAATTAGCAATTTTGAAGCTTCTCGGCAGGTGTAAAACTATTGGAACGAAATTAACATCTTAATTTATAGGTTTGTAGAGAATTTGATTGGCTTAAATTAGAGGGTAATTACATTGAAATCGGATGAAAATTAACGGGACTGTGAGGCAAAAGTTGTCTCACGTCATTTTTGTCAAATTTTCAATGTTCGATAATTTCAATATTGGAGCTTCTCAGTGTTGTGTAGGTACGGGGCTTAAGAATAAGCACCGACATGCGCAGGTATAGGACTGAAGCAGGAAGCACAGAGACTGAACGACATATTGTCAGTGTGTATCAAAAAACCGAAATGAAGCAATGTGCTCCAGAGATGACACGCGAATTTACGTAGTCATTTATTCAATACATCAATATTTCATAATCCTCGTTTTATTGGCATATGAGAATTAAAGGAGCTGTGAGGCAAGAACTATCGCAGTTAGAGCTGGCAACTGAAACCGATTTTTCGGTTTCGGTTAACCGCGGTTTTTACTCAAACCGAAAGTCGGTTTATCGATTTTAACCGGTTTTCGATTAACTGCAGCGTTTTACCCAAACTGAAAATCGATTCGGTTAATCGATTTCGAGGTAGGTACCTATACATCGGTTTTCGGTTAACGGGGATTTTGCTTAAACCGAAATACTGTTATTTGGTTTGTGGTTACTCGGTGGTTTTCAGAGCTCACCGAAAACCGAATACTTATAAGATAAGTAATAAGTTTCTAGTAGGCCAGAAACTAACTGACTGAAGTCAGGAATTGAAAGTACTATTTCAAAACAAAACTCCATGAATTAATGAGAAAACTATGAAATAAACACTTTTTTTCTGTGACGGGGAAGAAGTAGACTTTTTGTACCTGTTGACAGGGGCAAAAATGTAACTTTTTTTCCCATGGGAAAGAAGTGATTATTTTTTCTTTCCTGCGGGAAAAAAGTAACAGGTGGAAAAAGTTATCAAAAAAAGACTAACAGAATTCATTGACACAAAATTCAAGTTTGACCAGAACCAATATGGCTTCCAAAAAAAAAAGCAGCACCCTTGGAGCGATAGTTGATCTTCTCGAGTACGTGTCAGCAGAGTTGGACAAAAACAAATATGTTATAACTGTTTTTATTGATCTACAGAAGCCCTTCGACACTGTGGATATACACACATTACTTATACAAAAACTACAGAGAATGGGCTTTCATGGAAAGTGTCATAAATTGCTAGAGACATATTCAACAGGAAGAGAGCAATGTACGGAAATAAATGGCAAAGTTAGTACAAACGCAAAAGTATGTGTAGGAATTGCCCAGGGTTCGGTCTTGGGATCCTTGTCATATCTGCTTTATGTACAGGGTATTTGATTATATTTGGA